GCTCTACAACCAGCAGTTTGATTCTAAAAGGCCATGGAAAAGGGGATGGATGCCACAACTGACCTATAAAGCAACAATTGCCTTCTGCCCAGCGGGCTTGAGGCAAATATTTTCAGGAAATAATGGCTCCTTCGGCTTCTATTTCCTATAGTATACTTAAAACCGGACTATAATTGTTTAATACAGTCTTATTACTAAAATAATCATCAAAATAATTATCATCAATAATAATGTTTTTATTAAACCATTATATAGTATTGTTGCTTTTATTATTTTTATTTAATTATATTCCCAGGCAAAAGAAATTCCTAGTATGTGCTTTGACATATTGAGTGGTCTTGCCAACTGCAAAAACCCTTTCCCTGTTAAAACATGGAGAGAGTATGTCCAGTATGTCAAGGATGAAATTATTCCAGATATATGTGAAAATGAAAGTGGGTTGCAGAAAGCTACTGAGTATCTGCAAAACATAGGAGAAGTAAGTGAATATTTATTAGTATTTATTGGTAGAATATTTCAAAGATTAGATGTTCTATTCAACGAGGCATACTATATAACACCTACTGTATACAATCATATAGAACATATGCCTAGTATGTGTATAAATTATGTTGAACTATGTTGTAAATCGCCTAAAACTGGCCTAGCCTGTGTAGCCTATTAGGCCTGTATCGATCAGGTTGATGTTTGGTTATACTCAGATCCCAGACTGATTTACATTGCATTTTACTGAATTTTGTTGTTGATTTGACATCATTTTTATTTAGTAATTCAGACAAACCCTTCACAATCCATGGGTTGAAGCATCATTGATATTTCACCAGTCATGTGGTCGCGAGAGCATAGGTTAATTTTGTCTTTCATATTGCATTTGAAAATGTTTTCGCCTGTGATATTACAGACTGATGTTCTTTATTAATATTCTTATGTTTTAGTTTATTTCAATATTATGAGACACATAAGAAATGGGATGCAAGTAGAAATTTTTTTGCTATACACTATTTAAAATAAAAAATGTTGATTTCTTTCAGATTTGTATTTTGAAAGTACCTCAGATTCAAGCTGCTGCATCTGAAGACCCTGCTTCCCCATCAGTTGAACTGGATGACTTAAGACAATCTCGCATTGTTCTCAGGCCACAATGGCTATGCAGGAATATATTTGGGCGACTTCTGGCACCAGACTGCTTCTCACACCGGCTGGTAAGTGTAGATCCTAGAAAAGACACATACTCAAAGGAGACGATGCACAAGGCATTCAGTGGTGTTCTTAATGACGTGGAGAAACTTATCCAGCTGCTTGTAATCCTAGAGTTGTGCTACGAAATAGAAGGGGAAGTGTTAATTCCTTGTAAACTT